AGACTGTATCCCTAAAATGAGATCTGTTTGGAAGCAAAAACAGGTAAAGAAGTTTTTTGTTTGGTTTTGTTTTGGATTGGTGGTTTGTTTGGTTTTTGGTCAAAATCTGTGATTTCATGGGTGCCAAGGAACTTTCAGTCAAAATACTCCCTCCACTGATTTGAAGGAGACAGACTGCTAGTCAATAAACATCTATCAAACACCTACTATGTGTCAGGCATGGTGCTAAGTGCTTGGGATAGAATAAAAAAAAAATTGAAAAACAGCTTCTGCCTTCAGGGAGCTTACATTGTAATAGGGGGCCACAAAATACAAAAGAAAGCTGGGGAGGGGAGAGGAGAAAGAGGAGAAAGGCAAGGAGGCAAAATGAAGGAGTCAATCAGAGAAGTGGCAGAGTAGGGCAGCTAGATGAGAAATGAGACCTCTGGACCTAACTCTTTCCTTAAAAAGAGATTTGGATATCCTGGCCCCACCCTCCATCAGAGAGGCAGACAGCAGTGATAAGACAGAATCCCAGGATGGAAGAGATCCTAAAGGACGATGCGACTGTCTCAATTATGAACTTCCTGGGCCAAGGTGAGAAATCAGTTAGGAGTTCCAGAGCAGTGAAGCCAAGTGTAAAAATCCACCAGAGTCTAGACAGGGAAGGCTTCCTGTAGCCAGTGTCCCTTGGGCAGAGTTTTGAAGGAAACAAGGAATTCCCAGAGGTAGAGAGAAAATGTACCAGCCATTGGCCCACCACTATAAAGACAGAATGAGCATAGGCAGAGGCAGTCTGATGCAAAGGAAGTATTTAATAAATTCACCTTGGTATGTTCCTGATTCCAGGGCTATGAGATATTATCATCATGCTAGGCTGTCTCATATAGACAGACCCTAAAAATTATGCGAAATTGTTATTGCATGACGGATTTACTGTGGAAATTGAGCCTTTCAGATATATATATTTCTTTTTATTCAAATAAAGATTCCCTTACAATTTTTTATGTTACTCTCACTAATGGAATGATCATAGGCCATACTCAAACTTAAAATAAGCTAAATTTAGGAGATAGTACACCCTATATTTGGGACACTGCTGGAAATTTTGTGGCTGTCGACATTTCGAAAGGATTACAAGTACGTTTCTAGCCCTTCCACAGTATTTATCTAGACTTGAACCACTACTTTTCCCAAACTTTTTTTTGGGGGGGGATTATAAAATAAAGATCTCAATTCACAAATTGTGTAAAGCTCTATTCAGGCTTCTGAGACATAGTATCTTCACATAAAATCTGACCTAGAACATAGGAAGGACAGAGAGTAACCATAAAGTCAGTCCCCTCCTGAAGAGATGTACAATGTTCCTCTTACCCAAAGACATGGGAACTATGGATACAGACTGTGGCATATGCCGTCAGATTCCAGGTGCTAAATGGCCCACACTCTGCCCATTGGAGTTCCTTAATGATTCTGTTGTTGTTGTTGTTAAAGGGGAAGGGGGAAAGGGTGGGGATGGGATCTCAGAATATCCAGAAATGACTTCTAAAAACAAAAGGTACCAAACTTTAAAATGTGTTTTGCCTGGTTTAGCCTCAAAAAATTTCAGTTAAAATTTCCCAACCACTTCGCTCTAAGGTATCACTTCTCAAGTTGTCCCTATTTTGACACACTATCACTGACCCAGATCTCTCCTACCAGAAGCTTGGGGTAGAGAGGTGACCGATTCACAAAGCTAGAGAAGAGCTAGGGTGAAGGTCTAGAGATACCTTTGCCAAGACACAATTCAAAAGAATTCCACCTGTGCCCTGCAAAACAAGTTAGTTCCTTTTCTGTAGGAGGGATGTGGTAGGCTACCCTACCTGTGGGGGGAGGAAAAAGCAGGCAACAGGCTAATGTCAGTGCCCAGTTTCTTCTTCATTTGAACCTAAAGAGGAAAATAAAAGTATCTCTTTCAGGAGTCTTTGACTGGTTTCTTCCTCTGCTCCTCCAATTCCCTATTCTCTCTTTCTTTTCTTTTCTTCCCAGATTGCCTAAGGGGTTGGTATTTAATGGGTTCCAAGCTGTCCCTTCTGTCCTTTGTAAGCAGTGGCACTTAGAGAAGAATTAGACTCCTTTTAAAGATGTACAAGTAAATGACCCTTTTCTATATGCTGGACAAATCAAGGGCATTCATGAGAATGCTGAATTATAAGAGTGAGAGAGGCCCTTATAAATTCTCTTGGTTCATTTGTGCATCTCTCTTAAGGTCTAACCTGACATGGCTGGCATTTGTATCCTTACTGGCACCGTTTGGGATGGGAGGCTTCTGAAAGACAGGCTTCCTGAATTGATGAGTTGTTTTTGTTTTGTTTTTTAATTCTTTTATTGCCAGCACCTAAACAGTCCCTGGAACACAGTAAGGGGGTGCTAAATGCTTGAGTAAGGGGATGCTAAATGCTTCAACTAAGAGTCAAGCTTCAATTGGATTAAAATGCAATGCTTCAGTTAAGATTGTACCTAAAACTCTTAAATACAATCTGAATTGAATGATTCATTCACACAGCTCTCATTCATTCCAATGGTTTTAGATCCATCCTAACTGCCTACTAAACTAATTCTCTTCCCTGAAAAAAAAAAAAAAAAAGGAAAAGTCCTATGTATACTAGGCAGAAAAAGAGCCAGAGAAGGAGCAGCTGCTCTGGGAGCTCCCTAATCAATGTGGGGTTTTTTTTATCCTTATAGATCCCTTTCTGCTCCCAAGTTCTTAGATTCATAGGTTTCAGGTGGGGCAGGGGCCTTAGATCATCTAGTCCAACTCCATTGTTTTTCGTATTTGTCAACAAGGGCCACAGAGATTCCTTGAGTATCCAGTGATGCTGCACATTGTAGGCACTTAAGAAATGCTTGTTGATTAATAATAAGTAGCAAAGTCAAGATCTGAATCCAGGCCCCCCCCATTCAAAATCTAGCACACATAGTGGAACCTAAGGTTTCAGACTGACTTTGAGCATGAGGGGCAGTGATCAAAGTCTTCAGAACAGGAGACTGAAATAAGAAACTGGAAAGAGAAGATCGAGGGTGATGTGCCGCACAGGTGGGCAGGAGGGTAGGGTAAATTCGGGAGAGAAGGTCGATCCAGGGTAGTTGAACTCGATGTCGGAGGACTTTAAACTCCTAGAATCCCAGCTCTTGGCCATGCTTACCCTGTGGCCGGGGAAGAGACACAGCTAGATTCTCAAATTAAGATGGTCCTGGAAATACTTAAAATATACCCCGGTAATCATTAAGATTAACAACTGTGTTCTTTGCTGGAATCTGGCCCTACCACCCAACTCGAGCCATTCTAGGAAACTGGGCTCTGGCTCCCAAGTACCCAGCTTGGGAGTGATTAACCAGAACACTGTGCTGTTTGGTCCTTCCCCCCTCCCCGCCAACTCCAGTCACAGGCTGAAGAAGCAACAAACCCGCCTTCTTCAGCTGTCACCCTGTCAAAACAAAGACTATCGTTCGAAGGGCCACTGACCTCCAGGAGCTCGGAGGCTACTATCCCGAAGATCAGAATTCAGCCCCCACCCTGAGCCACATCTGGATTTGGGAGGGAAGGGGAAGTGGGGGAAAAGAGGGAGGGAAGGCAGAAAAGGATCCCAGACCATAGACAGGGGTGGGGTGTGGAGCACTAGAGAAAGAGGGCAGAGGCAGAGGGAAGCGTCTTATTCTTAAGACCACCACCAGCAGCCAGCCCAGCCAAGCTTATCAACCCGCCCAACTGTTCACAACCCCAACATCTGGGGCAAGGTTTTAAGCACACCCGTAAGAAGGCAAAAATAAGGCGTGCTGGCATCCCGCTACCCAGTCCCCGCACTGGAAATTTGGCGGACCGCCGTACCCATCCTCCAGGCTACCTCCTTCCCTCCCGCGTCCCGCCCCTTCCCCCGCCTCTCCCCCTCGGGAATCCTTAGCGCCCAGCTGCTGACCGCCAGTCAGTGCTGGCAGCACCTCCCCGACTGGAGAAGTGGAGAAGCAGGGCACGAGCGCACGCCCCGATCGCTCCCTCCCTTACCCAGGCCACACCAACACGCAACACTCTTCGCCAGACTCCGAAAGCCAGTCCTCCGGGGACAGCGCGCGGGCGCGCCCTCCCCAGCCACTCTTTCACTCGCCCCCCCCTCCCCACCAGCAAAGCCGCTCCTGGCCCAGTCAAACAGATCCGGAGAAGCAACTTCTCGGCTGCCCCCTCCGAAGCCAACACACGCACGCACCAGGGCCCCAGACAGCAAAAATCGCCTCCCGTCTCAGCTTTCTCCACCCCACCCACCCCCACCTCCACCTCCACCTCCACCTCCACCATGCACGCGCGCATACACACATAAACACACCCACGCACACAACGCAGTCCAAGAATCCAATCCACCCGAGAGCTGCACTTCCGCGGTGCAGCACAGAGAGGGAGGAGAGGAAAGGAGAGGCGGGGGAGGCCTTCGGGGAAGTGAAGGCAGCGGGTCCCAGCGGGCGCCCCGTCCAGTCCCCGCCAACAATCGCGGGGAGGTGGGGGGGAGGGGGCAGGACCGCTCCCCAGGTCTCCCTGGCAGTGAGGTGAAGCGGACGCTACCTTGCAGGAGGAGTAGACGCCGAGTTTCTCCAGTTTCTTGGCCCGGGGAGCGGAGCGCAGCTGCGCCTTCTTCACCGCGATCCGGGCCGTAGAAGCGCCGCTGCCGACCCCCGGGCTCTCGGCGGAGGCCGGCCCGGAGGAGGCGGCGGGGCCGGGGCCGGCCGGGACGGGGGCAGGGACGGCCGCAGCAGGAGCAGCAGCAGCAGCGGCGGCGGCGGCGGCGGCGGCGGCCGCGGACGCCGCGGCCCGGGCCGGTCCGCCCCCAGAGGCCGGGGATCCCTGCGGGGGCGGCGGAGGAGGAGGCAGAGGCACAGGCGGCGGCGGCTGCGGGGGAGGGGGCGGCGGCTGCTGCTGCTGCTGCCCCCCAGCCCCGCCGCCACCGCCACCACCGCCACCGCCCCCGGCCGGCCCGGCCCCGCCAGCCGCGGACATGCCACCGCCGCGGAGCACGGGAGGAGGAGGAGGAGGCGGAGTGTGGTGGTGGCCGCCGCCGCCGCCGCCGCCAGGGTCTCCCTGGGCGCCTCTGGGCTCAGGGAGGGCGAGAGGGACCCTCCCCCCTCGGGGCCTGGCCTCCCTCTCCGCTCCCTTCCCCCTCGGAGTTCCCCTCCCCCTCTCTCCTCCCTCCTCCCCCGCGCCCTGCGCTGCGCTGAGCTGCGCGGCTCTGCTGCGCTCCGCTCCTCTCCCCTTTGGCTCCGAGCCCCGGCTGCCCGCTGCTGCTGCTGCTGCTGCTGCTGCAGCTGCAGCTAGGGCTGGGGTTGCGGCTGCTGCTGCTGCTGTCGCCGCCACCGCTGCCCCCGGAGGGAGGGCACTAGCGGCCCCGCGGCCGCCGCTCCCGCCTTCCCCCGGGGTCTACTCCCCGGGGCCCTATTGGGCTCTGTGCCAGCGCCCCGCAGCAGCAGCCGCAGCAGCAGCAGCAGCAGCAGCTGCAGCCTCCGCCACCGCCGCCGCAGGAGCAGCAGCAGCCAGGGACATGTTCAGCACCGGGGGCCCCGGAGCGTGCATGCGTGGGTCAGCCCGAGTGTTCGGCCGCTGCTCCTCCCTGAAACCTTCGCTCCTCTTCCGCTCCCCGCGGGGATGACCCGGGTCTCCCTGGGTCCCCGAGCGCCCGCGATGTGGGCGGGGCTCGGCGGAGGGGGGGGGGGGGGGGGTGGCGCTGTCCGACGGAGGGCGAGGCGTAGCGGAAGGGTGGCGGAGCGAGAAAAGAGCCCGGAGCTGAGATCCCCAGGCACCTGCTGGAGGCACCCAAGGCTTCGGGAGTCCCCTGCCCCACGGCGGGGAGTGGGGGGGGGTGGTAAACTCACTGCTCCCCAGTCAGCCCCACCCCGTCCAGTGGGTAGAGCTGGGTGCCTTGCGGGGGGGGGGGGGGCCGAGGCCGAGCAGGGACGGGACCCCATGCACTGCAGGTCCCTGGAGGGCGGGGTTGGGGGTGCGTTTGCTACAAGAGGGGGCCTAGGCACTGTGCCTACCGGCTCCAGTTAATTCCACACACATACACATACACACACCACCACCACTCCCCGCACCCTCCCCCCCAAACACACCCACACCAGGAAGGGAGACAGCTTCACGCAGCTTTTTTTCTGAGCCCTAGAGGGAGCGGAAACAAATATTTCGAATGCGACCGAGCTGGACAGATGTTCCTCTTTGTTGTTAGCCAAAATAAAGACGACTTGTTTTCTTTTTTAAGCGCCAACTTTTCCGCTCTGCGATTCTTGATTGGAAGGTTAGAAAAAGTTCTTCTTTCGACTACTCCTAAACTGTGCTAACAAAAGAAAAAGTAAACTGGGGCTATTTACACTTTACAAGAAAAAAAAAGTTTGTCTTTTTGGTTTTTTGTCACAACGCCTTTAAAAGTCAATTACTAGACTGTTTGAAGTGAGGCTTTATGATACAACATAGAATGCAGAGCTAAAAGAGTTTCTGCAACATAGAAAGAGAAAAAAAAAACTAGCAAAGCATCTCGGTCAGAAAGGACGTTGGCGACCATCCAGTCTAAACTCCTTTAACCGAAGAAACTAGAGCCCAGAGAGGGGAAGTCACTTACCCAAGGACACACAGCAAAGCAAGAGGTAGAGCCAAGAGTAAAAACGAAGTCATCTGTGTCCGTTTTTATCCGGTGACCTTTTCACTAAACTATCGCTGTGCCTGATCTTCAGGGCCTTACTACTAATTTGGGATGGGGAAAGCTTTTGAAAAAAAAGTTTTAATTGCTTTTCATTAATTAGATGGAACTGGGACATTTTATTGACTTTATGCAGGTGAGGGGTTTTTTTTGAGTTGCCTTCCAAATTTACTTTTAAAACTATTCATTATTTCTCCGTATCTTTTGCAAGTGCATGGTGTAGGACAGGGAATTTATATGTATATTTTACCAGATTGTTTGCATTCCTTAAGAATAATAGCTAGCATTAGTTTAGCGACTTGAGGTTTGCAATGTGCTTTGCAAATATTTCAATGTTATCCTCTCAACAACCCTGGGAGGTAGCTGCTATCATCGTCCTCATTTTATAGATGAGGAAATCAGTGAGTCTTGTCCCTGGAAAGACCACCAGCTTTCCAGTCTCAGCTTACTATTTTTTCCATCCCTGATTTTTTTTTATTTTTTTAAGAGTTTAAAAAAACATGCAAAATCAATGTCATTGCGAATCTGAACAGAGATTGTTTTAATAGTAAAGCAAATACCTTCCACCCAATCTTTTAAAAGTCAGTATAAAATTGCTGCCAATTAGGTTGCATAATGTAAGTTATGAGAAGTTCAAGGTTCCATTTCCTGTCTGATATACAGAACTCTACTTTTCAGTGTTAACCAACTCACCGTGGTACTGAAGGCTGTTTGCATATTATTGATACTCTCTGCACCAGTCAGGTGAAATTCTAGGGGCTCCCACATGGTCCTGTCAGGGAGGTGGAGAGACCACTCCAAAATCACAACAATGTTGACTCACCCAACACCTGGACAAGGTCAGTATGCATTTTGCCTGAAGCTGGAAGACACAGAGAAAATTTGAGAGGCAGCCTGCTTCCAAGACATACAGTAGTTAAGGCTCCGAAATCCCATTTCAATCCACCCTGAAAGTCATTATGTTTGGATGGTGAATGGTTTCTGACAGCTGAAAATGGATTTTCATTATGTCATATCTCACAGCCTCGGAATGACATGTGGCTTGAGGCCAGATGCCTGCAATCCAAGGCATGTAGGAAACCTATCAGGGGCTTTGGATGCAGGGTGCAGCTTCTCCCCCTCATCATGATCAATCAATGAGCAGCATTTAGGAAGTTGAGAGGTGATAAAAGGCACCAGACTAGGAAGGACCGTGAATTACAAAGAAGCCATTATATTGAGGGCATTGATTGAGAGCTGGAAGTTGTCATCGTCCAACCCCACCCCACCCCATTCTGTAGATGCTGATAGTCTGGCCCAGAAATGCTAAGAGACTTGCCCAAGGTCACAGGTAATGAGTTGCAGAGTCAGAGCTGAACCCAGGTCTGGTGACTTCAAAGCCCAGGCTTTTTCCCATTTGATTCAATAAGTGTGCATTAAATTAAATTAAGTACGTGCTATGCAATATGCCAAGGTATTGGACATAAATGTGAAGTCTATTCGGGCCTTCCAAAGAGCTCGAGATGCACTGCTTAACAAGAAGTACAAAAAATAAGTTAAGCAATGGGAACAGGAGGAAACATAGCATGATCTGGGATCAGGAAAGGCCTCACACCTTACCGAGGTGGGAGGCCCAGCACTTGAGCTGAGTTTTGAATAGTATTAATAATTCCAACAGGTTGGGGCAGCTAGGTGGTGCAGTGGATAGAGCACTGGCCCTGGATTCAGGAGGACCCGAGTTCAAATCGGGCCTCAGACACATACCACTTACTAGCTGTGTGACCCTGGGCAAGTCACTTAACCCTATTACCTAGCCAAAAAAAAAAAAACTAAAAAAAAATAATTCCAACAGGTAGAGATGAAGAGGCAGAGCATTCCAGGCTTGGGGCATAGCCTGTTCAAAAGCAGGAGATGGGATATCCTTTATGAGAAAATAAGAAGGGACTACAGAGTCTTTGAGGGGGAGTGATGGGAAACCATTTGAAAAAGATAAGCTAGACACGGCTTGTGAAGGGTTTTTCATGCCAAGCAGAAGAGTTTGTATCTTCTTGTATCGGAGCACATGGAGGCCGATAGGTGGCTCAGTGGATAGAGCACTGGGCCTGAAGTTAGAAAGACCTGAGTTCAAATACAGCCTTAGACACAGTCAATAACTGTGTGACCCTGGGCAAGTCACTTGAACTCTATTTGCTTTAATGGACTAGAGAAAGAAATAGCAAACCATTCCAGTATCCCGGATAAGGAAACCCCACAGACAGTGTGGTCCTCAGAGTCATGAAGAGTCAGAACTGACTGAGCAACATCGACATAGGAACACAGAGCTAGAGTTGGAGGGGTCCTTAAAGGTCATCTCATTCAGTCTCCTAATTTACAGATGGGAAAACTGAGAAATTAAGTGATTTGCCCAAGGTCACAAAAATAGGAAGCATCTGAAGCAAGATTTGAACTCCAGCCCTTGATTTCCATTCCACAGCTTCTCATCTCTAATTTTAAGAAACTTGCAACTTAACAGTGGCAAGGAAGTCGGGTCAATCAGTCAGTCAACATACGTTGGTAACGACCTGCTATGTGCCAGGAAAGGCAAATAAAAAAAAATCCCTGATCTTAAAAAGCTCATATTTAATGGAGAGGACAACATACAAATGCATATGTACAAATAAGATGTAGCAAAGATAAATTGGAGATAATCAGCATAGGGAAGTAGCTGGCATTAAGGATGATCAGGAAAGGATTCTGTGAAATGGGCTTTTAGCTGGTTCTTGAAGGAAGCCAAGAAGGCTAAGAGACCAGAATGGAGAGAGAGAGAGAATGCCAGGTGTAGGAGAGAGTCAGTGGATGGCAGAAAGGCAGGAGAAGGAGCGGGGGAGCAACAGCAAAGATGTCAGTGTTACTGAAAGGAAGAGTATGTGGGTAGGAATAAGGTGCAAGACCTCACATAGGAGAGGATCAGCTTCTGATGAGCACTGAAGCCAGGGCTGTCAAATAGATGCCAACTCAGTGAAAGAAGCATTTCTCCATCTTTATAATGGGACCATAGCAAAAAGAACTGGGGAAAACCTTAGAGATTCCCTAGTCCAGCCCTCTCCTTACATGTGAGGAAAACTGATGCTTTGAGAAGTAGTGACTCCACCAAGTTCACACATTTAGGAAGCAGCAGTCAGAATTACAAGTCAAATCCAGTACTTTTTGAAAAAAAAAAAACTATTCTTTGATATGAAATATGGATTACAGAACTATGCCTAGACAGCAATGGATAAGGAAGTACCCTGCCACAGCATAGCAGAGGATTAGCCTTCGAGTCAGAAAAACATGGGTTCAGATTCTGCCTGTGACAGATATTGGTGGCTATGTGGCCTGTCACAAATCTGGCAAATCTTTGACTATAAATTATTGATGATTTTTTTTTTACTTCTCTGAGGTAGAAGTAGTTTTCACACTAGATGTTCCACACAGATTAAATCACCTCCAAATACAGGTTGTTTCTGTATGACAAGAACATTTGCTGTTGAGTCCTGGATATTTGGATCCCAGAAGAATGCCACACCATTTGCATACTTGGTAGAATGGCTTCCAATTCCTCCTTCTTTATTTCTTTCAACCATTGAATCATATACAAATAACCTCAGTGCAGAGATGACTAGCAACACTAACATTGAATGGAAAAAAAAAGTTAGTTTTTCCAAATTCAATTCAAAAAGCATTTATTAAATGTGGTATTGGGCTCTGGGGTATAGGGTATAAATGCAAGTCTCTGCCATTGCATTCCATGAGGAAAACAACATGTGTACATGTAAGAATATATAAAACATGAAATTTATATGTATGTAGGCATGCATACATATGTGTGTGTGTTATAGATAGATAGGAAGGCCCATCTAAATGTGTTAGTTAAAATTTAAGAAAAAAAATATAAATGAATTTCAGGGAAGAACCCGCTTGGAGCAATTATTCCAGTAACTCATTGAAAATCAAATTTT